TAGGTGTTTTCAATAATGTCCTGGCATCTTTAGGCAATTTTAATCCTTCTGATCTCAAAATTGACAAAAGTGAATTAACACAGTTATGAGAAACATGATAATCACTTATCCACTGTTGTAATTTTTGTTTTAATGGATTTTCATCAACAGAGTAATTATCATTTAAGTTATTACTAATAATATTATTAGAATCACTAACTTTAGAACTATCTACATTAGAGAAGTTATCAAATGAAACTAGTGATGATGAATTACATGCAATTGGTATTTGTAAGCCCATGTTTGAAAAATCATTTAAATTGTCTGTTGTTGAGTTCATTTCAGGTTCTTGTAACCTGATATAAGTGTTTGTAATTTGATTATCGCATGATAGTTGATTTGATATAATATCACTTTGAATGTAGCGTGAAAAATGCCTTTTTGTAGTAGAATGTATAGCTTTCCTTTTTCGGAACTAAAATTCAAAGATTAATTATAATATAAATAGAGAATACATCTATTAGAATAAAAACAAATAAATACCTAATTAACAGCTATAAATTGTAATAATTCTTTTTATCATTATACCTATTTAGTATTTGGTTAATATTGTAACAAGCCTTGAGGACCTTTGATTCTAAAAATAATTTTACCATTCTTGTCCTATGTATAGGTCATGTCCAATTTCCCTTTTTAATCTGGTTTTAACACCATCATATGTTTTTTTAAACTGATAATAGCCATCTCTGCTTTGGTCAATGATCTTATTCTACCTATTCAATTCTTGTGTCTTGTTTAGTACTTATTTGTATACATGATTAAAGATAGATCTATCTTTAATCGTGTTTTTATATAATATACCTATTTAACTAGATTTGAAGCATATTTTGTTTAGGCAACGAATGGGTTAAAACTTTAAAATAGGTTAAATTCAAATATTTTAACAAACACACTATTAGTATAATATTATTTTAAGTAATTGCAAATCATGTTATATATAACAAAAATATAATTTATAATATAATCACTTCTTCTTTATTATAAACAAACATGTACAAATTGTAACAAAGTAAATTATTGTACAGTCCTTAAAAAAAAATAAAAATTATTAACATCTCTGTTAAAGTATAAAATAAAATAATGTCTTCTTTATAATAATAATTATATATATAAAAAAAAAAATGCAAATTAACTATTTCAAATTTTAGTTTTCCTTTTTTGAAAAAATAAATAAAATAAAATTAATACCTTTTAATGTAATAAATACTTAAATATGTAATGCTTATGAAGATTATTTTTGTTGTTCTCTGGTATATCTTTGAGAGCCATGACGGAACCAATCTTTAGTATGTGCTTCGAAATTAGCTTCAGTCTCAGAAAAAGTACTAATGGCAACATCTAATAATGATACAAAATAGTGAGTTTTGTAAACAATAACATTGACAAAAATAAATATTTGTATATAAATAACCTTTCATGATTTTCATAATTTTCAAATTTTTTAGCGCGTTGTTATCTTTAAAACCTGTCCATGAATATTTTGTGGATAGTTGATTAGTAAATAATCTTTCCAACACCCTTTTAATAAAATTTTTAAGACCTGTGCCCCCGATTTGTAGCAGGAAATTTTTCTATAAAAATAACATAATAAATAAATAATTATTTAATTTACTTAAATATTATTATAATATATAAATACCAATTGAACAGCAGTGTTTTCATCCAGATTTAATTTATTTTCCATGTCCTCCACAGCTTCTACGTTTTTAAATGGAAATATTTTTTCAAAGACATTATTTGCAGTTAAATTTGTTTTTATATTTGGATTAGTTTGAATAAATGAATCTATTTTGCTGTCCTACCGTTTTACATATGCAAGTATAGAAATTACATTTTTAAACACATTTTGCATCATATTGTCATCATACTTATTAATTGACTCTTCTTGATTTTCTGTTTGTATGTCTAAATTATAAATTATTTTACTAATAATTGTAAAGCCTATATTTTGGAAAAATAAAACAACTGTATGTTTTAAATAACAAATATAACACATACTTGACATGGAATGATCCACACTTGGAATGTTAAATTCATTCAAAGTCACAGGCAATTCTTTTTCGACGGTATAACATTCAGTATCATACTGAAAAGTGTCCATAGATGCTAAACATATTTAATACTGATTGTTATCATCAGTAAATTATAAGTAAATTTAATACATACAAGAAATAAAGTTGATGGGCAATAACTGATTGGAAAATTGGTTGTTTTGCAGTTCGATATAGTTTGAAGATCCACTTTGTTGTAAGTCCACTGTGTGGTTTGATTTTAACACTTTTATTGGAGTTGTATGTGTACTACTACAAGCTGTAATGCAAAAATTAGTATATTTAAAAAATAAGTACTAAGTAGATAATATGTAAAATGTACCTATGCATAATTTAACAATTTTGGAAAATTAAAATAATATAACTTACCACTGTCACTATCTTCTACGGTTTGTACAGGATAAGCCTTTTTCTTCTTCTTTTTTTTTCCTGGGCTTTCAGATTCTGACGCAGACAAGAATAATTCTTTTTCTTTTAATTTAGCATCTTCAAATTTGTCTATAGTTTACAAAATAAAAAATTGTTAAACAAAGGAGTACCTATATTAAATATAATTTAACTAATAAATAGAAATAGCACATAGCACATAATAATATTATCTATATGTTATGTTTCTCACTAACTTAATTATATTTTAAAAAGAAATTTGACATGAATTAATAAACATTTAAAAGTTAGAACCTTTTTAGCCAATAAGACACTCATAACATAAATATTAAATTATGACATACGTAAAGACATATGTAAAGACTGGTAGGAAAGTATTAGTTGAAAATATAACAATTTATTTTTGCTTGGTAAGCAAATTACTACTGCTTTGAACATAAAATTGTATAATAAGCATTTCTTCTTCTTATCGTGTCCGAGCTATGATATAGATGCTTTGTTAATTGTTTATCATACTCCTAAAGAATAATCATTTAATGGTTAGCATGCTAACAGCATGCTAATTACTTACTGAAAATTTGTGAAACTATTTTCACTGGGAATGTTGGCCAATCTAGCTCTGGATCACTTGCTTCGGTAATCATTGTGTTTACTATGCCAGATATTGGCCACTTAGATAAGTTAACATTACCGCAGTTTAAAATCCAAGTGAATGGAATCACCGAATATTTATTTTCTTTTGTAAAATATCCTACGACCCACTGCGAAATTACAAAACATGCATTCAACTTATAAATACAAAATTATAAGGGTTAGGTGATCTAATTGGTAGGTACCTACTTAAGTAATTCAATTTGAAAATTATCAATAATCAATTGGTTATTCATATTTCCTGTTAACTTAATACCCAATCTAACTTGAATTTAGTAAAACATTAAAACATAAGGTATATTTCTGATATTTAAGCAATTGTAAGCTTTTAAGTCCGAGAGAAAAAAAAGAAAATGTACAATCATTTCAACCATTCAATTTTGTGTAAGATATATACTAGCTATATGAATACATAAATTATACATCCGTCATCCATAAGTAGGTAATGGCTAATTAGGTACCTACAATTTACTATTAAATTACTATGCTATCTGTATCTGCAAGTAATAACTTAGTTAGGTATAGGTTGCAAGAGTCAAAAAATAAATATGAATAAAACAATGAATGATGATATTATATATATAAATAGTTAGATTTACAAATACTACTATAAATAGGTAGGTATATGATACAATTGTCAATTATTACAATTTAGCTGTTTTTCTAATTTATTGGTAATTTAATATGACGTAAGAAATAATTTAAAATTAGTAGGTATTTTTTCAAATATGTTGAAATTGAAATTAGTAAGTTTTATTTTAGTAAGTAGGTAGTTTACTTATTTTAAAAATAAAATAAATGATCTGGTTATAATTTATATCACCTACCTGTTTAGGCGACATTGTAGGTTCAACACAACAACACTGAACACAATATGGAACAGTAGAACAATTAAAAAAACGCAGCTTTCAATAAACAATTTTATAAGTTATAGTATAATTACTAATAAGTATGAGGATGGCGTTGTCACGTGGTTGCGTTAGCAAAAACAAAGTTGTAGTGGACAATGGACACTGGACAGAAAACGTATAAGTTATAACCGATGCCGAACTGCGATAATAAAAATGATAACTGATGATAAGTGTCTTTGAACTAGCTGGATATCCCGACGATAACTATTTCGTTATGTTTTTATAATTTCTATTTATAGATAACATTTTCATACATATCTTCGATATCTCAGAGACCTCGCATTGTAACAATTTAAAATCATAATGTTGTTACATCTATAAGTAATCGCATAGTACACCTATCCCAGTAATAGCATGGTTACAATTTCTATGTAATATAACAAATGACAGTCGCATAGAACTCTATTTGTGACATCGCTAAGTTAAAACTATACAACTGTTATTTTAATATAGTCTCTTAAACATATCGTAGAAGTATTTTTGTGATATCACATTTGAGACTACTAAAATACAATCGCATAGAAGTCAAAATCACATTATTGCACACAGGGATAGGTACTATATGTAGTATAATAATAAATTGTAGTAGGCAGTACGTACTACAATGTAGTTCTATTACATAAAATATTAATAATCATATTATGTTTGTACTTACGTACAGGGGTGGCTCCAGAGGGGGCCCCAGGGGCCGCGGTCCAACCAAGCTGTATTTCTAAACAATTTTATACTGTTAAAAACAAAATTACAAAAAATGGGCAGAAAATTATGACTTGAGCCACCACTAACCATGTCTCTGGAGCCGCCCCTGCCTAGGTACTAAAATTATTTTTTAAACATTGAAGTCAGTTTAACTTAATTAATTGTATCTAGGTATGTATTTTGATATAAGTTACATTGAATATTGTTAATATTATGCATTCTGATGTTGTAAGTCCATGTTTTAACTGTCATTCTATTTTATTTAGTTTAATAAGTCGATGGATTGAGTTTGGATTAAAACTGAAACTATTTTGAAACAAGTATGGATTACCTAAAAAAATATTTTATAATTCTAAAAACCATCGCGTAAGATATAATAAATAAATAATAATAAAAATAAATGTTTTATCACATTAATAACTATAATATATACGTATTATAGTAGAATAACTAGAATATAATATTGTTTTATTCATACGTTTGCAAAAAATGGCCGATTGATGGTTACATCTGGCGATGCTTTTAACTTTAATCGATTAGCATTGTTCATTTTCATTGACATTAACAAGAGTTGTTTAAACTTTATGTCCATCCCAGTCCAATTACAGCTGTATAATCCAAAGTTCACATCTTCTTTCTACCAAAAACAAATACCGTAATAATAACAGACCATTTACAATGTCGTTTTATTTGAACACTCGCTTACTTTGTTGTCAATAAGTTCAAATAAATAACAAAAGATAAACACTTCTATTGTGACATTTGATACCGTCATTACTATTTTCATTATTTCAGCAATAATGAACGATTCTTTTGAATTAAATATCTGTAGTATACACATAAATTCCTAGATAATGCTCAGACAATATTTTCTAATTTTCACAAATTGCTAATATTCCATGTAAAAAGTTTTCATTAAATACATCTATCTATATTAATTGTTTATATTACCGTTACGATGACATATGCATACATAATTAATGAGCACGAATAAGCAAACACATGAATGAGAGTAATGGGTCGCACGACAGCATAAAATGATTTCATTTTTCTAAAAAGTAACAATACCGAAGTATTTACCAACACAAATAAGTCTTAACTGCAGTTACACGTAAACAATTGTTTATAACCATTTTAATTTTAAAGTAAGTACCTATTGGTACCTTTTAGTACTTATAGGTACATTATTTATTATGAATAAAGAATAATTCAATATCTGCCATATATAATATATACTTATATATTATAAAATAATATAATTTATTATACCTGTGTTTAGATAGAAGGTTAAGTATATTTTTGATTTGCAGAATATCTTATATTAGAATTAAAAACAAATTAAAATATACCTATACTGAAAAAGGGTACTTACAAATAAACATTTTGATGGTCGATTATAATTGATTTGAAATCTTTATAAATGTCTAATATAAAAAAAATCACAACCAATAATAATATTAAGTTTATAAATAATAATTGCCTCATACCTTTCGGGGATCCCTGTTTATTGTATCCAAATGTCGCGAATGCTTTGGTGACCGATTGATATTGTGCCGAAATAATCCAACAAAATGACATAAGATAAGCGTCTATTAAAACTGAGCCATAAACGATACAAAAACCTACAGCCACTTCCATCAAATAAAACACAAAGTAGTAACTGTTATAGGTATTCACGGTCACTGGAAACTTTATATTTATAATATTTTTATGTCGATGAACAGTGTTGGGTTCAGTGTATTCTTCATTAGATATGAAAGGTCCCATCACCCATAATATTAGTCCTACTAGAAAAGAACGAGCTATCCATATCGTGATCGTAGTTGATTTTTTACAACGTTTCACAAAGTTTTCGGTGATCAATTTACTATGTCGAGAACATCTCAAAAAGTCTGTACGTGTGAGGTCGAAGAGATCCCAAATTATTTTAGAATTCGAAATGAGTGTATACATTTTCAACGACGATAGTGAACAATTTGTTAGGATGATAATTAATTCGAAGGAATTCGATTTACCAGGGTTGGTATCGGTATCTCCCATCTCAATAAAGAAACCCATCACCCCAAAAATCGTAATAAATTGAACAATCAAGAGGAATATTTTCAGAATAGTTCTGTAAAGATGGTATCCGTATATATGCGGTCCCTTCGGGTCTAACAGTTGATAATAGCCTAGCTGCTTGTACGTCGATAAGTTAAGAGCCACTGGTCCACCGTTGAACAAATTCTCCGAATTCATATTTACTGTACTTTTGATGAAATCGCAACTAAACATACCAATACCAGAATTAAGTTTAATGAGAAAAATATATTGTTAGCTACTTTAATCATATTTTTTTAAAATAAAATATTATACTTATTAGTTATATTATGTACTTACTATTTATTATTATATTATGACAAAATTCTTTAGATTTTTGTTTTGGATCTTCTTCATAAAAATCCTATGTAAATAAAATGCATAATTATTACTATAATATATCCTTATTTTAATATAAATGCAATTTATATCTATTACTTATAACATCTTATACTTGCTTCAAATTTAAGTATAAATATCAAAATGTCTAATAATATATAATATATATAAGGATGAGCTAATGTCTAATGAACACTGATAACGCGGTTATTTATGGTTATTCGTGTACGATACTGCAGTACAAATTAAGTTAGTTAAGTCTGCAATACATGAATACAATAAATAATGATGAAATATGAAGTTTTACATAGGTACACTAAAAAAAATTAATCATATGGTTTCTACACATTTTCCCTGAGCTTTAAATTTTTCTCTACTAAAAGAAGTATAAAATCCAAAATTTTGATCTTGAGTGTGAACACACTTTTCAATTATTACATTTTTATCGAATACCTAGCTATTTGATAATTTTGAAATTCCTAATGGCCCTTAGGCAGTTCCTGGTATAACTTTTTTTAGTCACATTTTTTGACCAATAAAAATAATAAATATAAATAATTCAATTTAACTTGCGGAATAAAATCCCAAGAACGAAAAAAAGGTTCTACAAAAACTGTAGAACCAATATTACTTATATTAAGTCTATAACAATCAACATACGTACAGTCATGTATTTTTAATCATAAATAATTGTTATATTTTAATAAGAAAACTAAAATAATACTTTTCGTGTTCCTATATTATAAGTTAATTTTGGTAGCTATCTATAAACTTTTGTATCTATAAATAATCTAAATATTTACTCACTTCTCTGACACACAACTCTTATCAACCGATTGATGTCTGCTTATGAGCTCCATAATATATGGAAAATTACGAATGAACTACAAACACGAAACAAATACGGTATAATTAAGAGTTGTGTCCTTTTACAATTTTAAAGCAGGTAGGTATGTTATTAAACAAAAGTATAGGTATGGGTAAATAATACTCCTAAAATAGAAGGCTACTGCCAAAAACCTATTCTTATTAACCTTTAGCTAACCCAATTAATCCAAATCCACGAGTCAATAAATAAATAGCAATCATTTTCAAACAAAATTAACAGTAATTAAAATCCTAACTGTAAATTATTTCAATATAATATTCTCTAATTCTTAAAGGAAAATAACTTTTAATTTGTCTTAAATAATATACTTTAAAATAATGTATATACCAACCTACTATAGTACTATATATTATTCAAATTGTTCCATGTACCTGCTATACCTACCTGATTGAATTTCATAGTTACCTACCTTTTGTTGTAGATCAATATAAAATTATTAAACTTTGTGAAAGCTATTTCGATTAATATTGTTTACATGCACCTTTTTATTACCATTCATATATAATTAAATTTTAGAGTGGGTTTAATGATCGAATAATTATTGCAGCAGGTTAATGTGTTGAATCTACTACCGAACAATATAACCGACCAATTATATAGAGTTTATATTAATAAATCAAAGTACAGTAAATTAATTTATATGACATTTAAATTATTCAGTTTTCACAATTAATATTATATATTTATTGTCAGTAATCTACTACCATTAGCTATTATAGTTGATTAGGTATCGTTCAAAACAACTTTGTTTCATAACATAAGACAAGCTTAATGTGCCGTAAATATAATTTGGATTGTTTAAATCTAAACAACTTGTATTTGTTTAACTGTAATTCAAAGTTAATGTGGGGACTACAAAAATAAAAACATAGTCACAGAATTTAATTTAAAAAAAATATTTCATCATTCTTGAATGCAAATAATTAAGAGGACGTTACACAGATATTTGTTATCTTTATCTTACAACTGCGTACATAGCAAATGCAAGCTCAGCAGATCAAGTTTAACTCCATTAGGTAGTTTAAAAATTAGAGTGAATCGACTTATTATGAAACTTAATGGTTACAAAATTATCAATGTTTGTATGTATGTTTATCACGATAATTAATTTTTTTAGCGAGTTATGCGTATATAATATAGCGTAAATTAAAAATGCTCGTAACTCACTTAAAAACTGAGTCATCGTAAAAAACCCACATACAAACACAGATAATATTGTTACCATCAAGTTTCAAGTCGATTCACTCTAATTTTTAAACTAATGGAGTTCAACGTGATCTGCTGAGCGTAAACTTTCTATGTTACGCACTTGTAAGATGGAAACAACAAATATCCGTGTAGCATCCTCTTAACTTCGTCAGTAACTTAATATGAAGATAGGCACTCATGGAACTTTAGTTGTTGAAATGTTAATATATGTCTATCTTATTCAATTATGAAATATATTTTTCACGTTAACAAAATAGTAGTTTAATGCTGTAGGAGAAAGTATAAAGCTTACAGAAACATTGGGCACCAGCCACCTGTTGTAGGTAGTGATGATCAAAACAAGACCAAGACCAAGACTTTCAAAATCTTGGTCTTGGTCTTGGTCTTGCGCAAGACTCTTGGAAGACTCTTGCTATTTTCACAAAATAAGTAAAAAAAAAAAAACACTAAATACCTGTTATAGCTGTGTTATTACTAATTACTAATTATTGACCTATATAATGTTAATAAAAATTAAATTGTTGTTTTCTTTAATGTTTACTTTAAAAAATGATAATATTAAAAAAAAAACTGTTTGGTTTGTTCCAAATATTAAATTGCTTAATAATTATATTTGTTATAATGATAATATTTATTATTTATAATTAAACTTTTCTTCTTTTTATATTCACCAGTGTCCAGTTAATGTAATCAATGTATCAATTAATACATGTTTAAGTTTCTTATTGGCAATAGACCATCATGTCAACTTTGGGAAAGTAAAATCATTTTTTAGTAATTGCTAATTAGTATGAAACATGTTATTTTGTAATATTAATTCCAATTATTTCTAATCTTTTTTTCAATAATTCGCCATTTCCTTGAATACTGATCAAATTTTAGCAATAGGTAAAAATAATTTATTATTATTTTCATTATAGTTTATTAGTTAATGAAATCTAGATAAACTAATGGGTTTTCGGGGAAAAAAAAAATTTTGCGAGACTGCAAGAGTCTTGCAGGGATGGTCTTGTTTTGGTCTTAATCTTGCAAGTCTATTCTTGGTCTTGGTCTTGCAGCAAGATTCTTGCGAGACCGCAAGACCAAGACCAATTTTGATCATCACTAGTTGTAGGAGGTACGCCTATACAGAGTGTAACAGAAAGACCTGACATATTAATTAACTTTTTTTCTAATCAATATCTTTTAATTGTTTTGTTTTTTATCATTTACAGATGCTTGAGGTGAAATATTTTTTTATTTTTTGATACTGAAAATAAATAATTTAAATCTAGTAATTTTGTGTTTGAAAAATTCAAAATAGCCAATTTGTAAATCTGGTTTTTAGAAAATGTTTGATTGTAAAAAGGTTTAATTTTTGAAATACATTATTTTTGTTAAGTAAAGTTTATCCAGCCGTAAAAAAAAATTTAGTTTAATTTTAAAGTTATTACTTTTCTAATTAACAAGTTTTACTTCAAAAAGTTTTGACATTTTAAAATAAACCACTTGGCTTAGTCAAAAGCTTTTCTAAAACTAAATTTATAAATTTTTCAAAACAAATTTTTTCTTTTTTATTTTCAGCATTAAAATATTTAGTAGATGTATAGAACAAAAGATATATAATTTGTCAGGTCTTTCTGTTACATTCTACATGGCCATATACAGGGTGTCCCACCGAGATCTGACAAATGCCATAACTTTTGCTATATACAAAATATATGATATGATATGTATATAATTTATGAGTAACCTTTAAGTACTGCGTATAAACTAAAAGTCGACCAAAAATTATCGTGAATGATGGTTATCTCATAATATTTTTTACTGCCGTGATATTATGCAGGCTTGGAGCATGCCACGATATATCTTGCACGTCATGCTGTTATGTCAATTCGATTGGCTCTTTATTGAAATAGAGGGATGTTTTGATAAAACAGGCATTTTTGTATAGATTTATTTTTTCATCAGTGCGTTTAACCGCAGTCGTTGAAAACAAGGATGTGATGTCGGTCGGACGCGTGTGTACAGAGTATGACCGAGTTCTACTCTTGGGAATTGATGTCAGGACGAACGATTGCAATGTATGGCTTGCCCTGATTCGATTTCTGCTTCGCCACTATATAGGGTTGTAGTGATAAATCGATTATTTATATTTAAAATTAAATTCGTTATGATTATTATTCAGGTAGGTGTAGATTAGATGATACTATTAAATCAACAATTCATCTTCAATCGTAAAATATACATAGAAGTCTTTTCGTCGGTTATACAAATGTTTTTCACCTATTCAAGCACCATATTATAATAATACCTACCCTACATTCGTGGTGTGAATAGTATCTATTGTAAAATATTATGCTAATTTTATGTCTTCGAAATATTTTACATTGACATTATATAAAACTGAGTATTATAGGAACTGAAACCTTAACACTTTAACAAATTTCAAATATTTAAAATACAAAATTAAAGTTTTTATAAGTAAATTAAATAATTATGTGGGTACAATATTACTATAATATACATATAGGTACCAGTCAGCATTTTTATATCTGCTAAAGAATGTGAATTATAAGAGGATCGATGAATGATGAATTGGTTTTACAGTGATTTGTGATAGTGGTTTCTCTTAGTAAATTGGATTTAATTGGTATTTATTGTATATATTATTCACTTCTTTTATGTTGAGTCAAAAGTAAAGAAATTCACTGTATTTTTAAAAATAATTGGGATTTGCTAAATGGTCTGTCCACATTGAGAATCATTTTTTCGTATG